CAAAACAGTGACCCTGCTCTCACTTAATGATGTCTGGTCCATGGTGACCAGACTTAGGAGGGATTTAGGATCTAGGATGTAGTCTCAAAACATCAGAGAAGCCTTTGTCATCAAAGTGTCTTGAGTTGGGATTGCAGAAACTATCTTCTCATGTGTATTTTGTTTTCCAGTAAAACTACACACCTTGCTCAGAGTATTGATATTAGGAAAATTTCTGCTCATTATGTTAGTTTTTATTTTCCATTTCTGAAGGCTCACAGAATTTTGTTGAAATTACAGTTGGAACAATTTTTCATTTCTGCCACTGAGCTGGATTCTGCTCTCTGAGAAGCCAAACTGTTGTTAACAGATTCTTTGAATGTTTCTAATCTGTTTTGATTCAAAACCAAAACAGATGAGCACAGCATACCTCAAGTGTCAATTTAAAATAACCTGGCTGCCTTCAATGTAATCTCCTGTGGTAATTTAACTCCTGGTAGGGACTAACATCTTCATTTGCCAGGGCTGCCTCCAAAATAGATGTGCAGCTGTTTTGTGATGGGAAGGACAAGATTCAGACTTCCACCTTAGAGGCCAAAATATTGACAGTACCTTTTCCTTTCTTTTTCACAGTTTCTGGCTACCTTCCTCCTCATGTTCCTCCGTGAAAATATGACTACTCCTGTCTGTTACCAGGTGTTTTGGGAGGAGTTTGACTATCCCAGCCACTGCTGTAGTTTTCTCTCTCAATTTCTGAACTGGCACTATGACACTGTTGGCGCTGAAGTTGTGAGAAGCAGCGACATCAAAATGAGATTTAGACTCGAAGCTCAATACCTTTATAGAAACACAAAGGTTTGGAAATGATAGCTGAACATATTTGTATAGATGAAAAAGAGTTCATTTACATGCCTGAAGCTGGTTGCTTTATTACCTGTGAAAATTTAGCCCTCTTCTTTCTAACAAGTGTTGAAAACCCCGTGACATTGTTTCCATGTATTAATTCTTAAGTATATTACAAAGGAGGGTAAAAAATAGTAAATATGTTATACAGGTATAAAAGACAGGATGCTCCAAATTCCTAAGAGGCAGCAGGGAATGACTTTCCCATTGCACCTTTTTCCATGAAGGAAGAATTTCTTTGTGTAGAACACAGATTTAAGGAATACCCATTAGCCAGTTTTTCCAGGGGAAATGTACCCCATCACACAGCATGCTAATCAACAAGTTGCTAAATGTGAGTGATAACACAGAAAAAAGTCAGCCTAAAAAGGCTTTGAGGTGGTTTTTTTTTTGCATGTTTGCATGTGTAACACACTGTAAATCCTCTTGCAGAATCATAATTGACTTTCCCTGACACGAGCACATTAACTGATGGGGGATATGTTTTCTAACACAATGTCTTTTCCTGGAAGCAGAATTAACAAATCCAAAATCTCCTCCATGTTGCGCAGTTTTTCATAGAGAACTGTTTCAAGAAAATAACACTGACTAAAATGAAGAGAAATCAGAATGATCTGTGTTTTACAGTCGTCCTTGAATGACAATTCTGAAAGAGTAGTTTTTAAATGTAGAATGAATCTATCTTAATAAGAAATCCAAACTGCAATCATGACACTTGCCATTTCTTAAGAAACTGATATTACAGGATTATTTGAGGATTTATATTAATCGTGTTGCTGGTGGTTTTAGGTGGGGTAAGAGGGTAAAAGAATATGCTTTCATGAATTCTTGGAGGGTTCTTTTTTCCTGTGTGATTTCAAAGAATTCTTTTCAATTTCACTGTTTTCTGAATATTGTTTTATGTACAGAAGTCCTTTCAGGCTGTAAAAAACTTCATGGGTTTAGAAGATATTAGAGGCAAGTGAGCTCTCTTAAGATTCAGAGTTCCAAACATGGAACAAAAAACCCCTAAAACCCATCTTAGAAAGCCTCCTTGTGCTTTTGAACTTTGAGTAGTGCTCATATTCTAATCCCTCTGACAATATGAAGATAGTTGGTAACTGAAAACCTTCTAGATGTATAAAGGAAATACAGTTACATAAGAATCTCAAAAACTTTCAAAAGCATCATTATATTGTGAAACAACTTTTAGTTATTTCATGAAACACCCTTACAGCACTGACTGTTATTGATTCTGAATCTAAGCTGATATTTATTTCATACAGACAAACTGGCAATTTATCCTCTCTACTCTGGTTGTTTGAATAGGTCACAACGTCCTACTTTTAAAATGGGTAAACAGTATGGTTTGCTTTCTTTTTTCCTCCTCCTTGATATCCTATAGAGAATGGCTTGAATTCAGTGATGTCAAACATCATTTGTACACATTCATCCACTTCTTGTCACGTTTTCATCTCGAGGAAGCCAGCCAAGGAGGAAAGATCTCTTGTGGTTGGAACTCCACTGACAATGAGGAGAGTCTGTTTCCCAGGGCACTTTCACACGCAGTATCGGCCTCTGAATATCTGTCCCCCTCCTTTGTGCTCCTTCCTTTCACAGATGCATATTAGCAAGGAGAAGAAGTTGACTGCAAATTATCTGCTTTGTCTTTTTCTCACTGTTTTATCCCCATCCTAATAACTCGTCATGTGAAGTGTCCAACACAGCGAGTGTCAGCTTTGTGTATCTCCAGTGGAGTGAATCCCAAGATCTTTAATCAAAACATCTTTGCTACCATTACAATCACCCTTTGAAGAATATGCTTCAAGCATCAATTTATGAGTTATTTATTAAAAAGAAAAAAGAAATTCTATTTTATACCTTTTCCACCGCCAACCCATGCTATGCAGCCTTTACAAAAATGCAAATTGATAAAAAATAAAATGGGACAACATTTTTTCTTCAAAAATGCATTTTATTTTTCCTAGAGTCTTCATACTAATGATGTGCTACAAGTTTTTTTAGTGTTTGTAAAATATGCTTTGTGATAAATTTAGCTATTATATTCATCTGTGTAACGACACTTCAGAGCTACTATTTAAAAACTGGAAGGTAAAATGAAAGTTCATAGGTAGAAAATTTGGATTTTTTTATGTGTCAGCACTGCAGGTTGACTTTCTTCCCAGGAAGAGTAGTTAAAATAGTGTCTTGTCAACAGATCAAATACATGCTGAAATAAGTGTTCTTTGCTTTAAACCATCTGATCTGGATTAATTATCCATTACAGCATAAAATCAAATAAAAAGGTCATGTTATTTTGCCAGTCTGGGCAGAATAAAACATGATTATTGCCTAGGGACATCATAACCTCAAGACTAAATACATAAACAAAGAATTGACAATGTGCTTTATTTCTTGAGTGTGCATTTTACAGGGAATAAACTCCTGGGGACCAAGTTACCTCTAAGAGGAATATTCCAAGCTTTGAGTGTGACTCTGATATTTGATACTTCATTGATGCTGTGTGATACTTTTTTTTTTAAAGAATGACATGAGAAGAATACTCTGTATTTTATTCATGCTGTCATTCTGTGGAAGTAAAACATAGTCAATTAATTAAAATTGAGTTTGAAACGGTTATGCAAGCATTCCTTTAAGAGGGCTTGCTCTCTAAGGTATCTGGCAGATCGATGATTCTGCATTGTTTGGAAAAAAACCAACAACAAAACAAAAACAAACCCCCCAACACTGCAATTATAATGACTGAAATTGTATGCACTGCTATTCAGTCACCCAGCAAATGAGAAGCAAGCCTTTTGCTTATCCCATCAGACAGCAGCTGAACAGATACTTCAGCAGTGGGAGGTAAAGGTTACATGGGCAGTTGAGTTTCAATTTACATTTTTAATAAAGGGTTGCGCCTATAAAGGCAGCTGGATTACGTTGGGTTTTTTTTCCTCAGAGGAATTGTGGTTTTGTCTAAGTTGTGTATAGTGAAGAAACAAAAGAAAAATACTTGTCTCTTCTGGGCAGCATCCAGGTCTTCAGACTTGCACATGTGCTTCATTTTAAGTACAATTCCTTATTAACAACATTACTTTAAAATGCAATGACTGGCAATAAAATTAATCACGGATCTAACTTTCAGGGTCAGTGATTTTCACTCCAAATTATTCTTAATGGCTTTGGGTGTGTTGAAATTGTCCCCAAAGTGGCAGCTCTGGAGGCTGTTCCCTGTCCATGTGTCCAGACTTACAGAGCTGGGGGAGGCATTCCTACCTCCTGCCCAACTTGGAGCTGCCTTTCAAAGGAGAGGGACACTGGTCACTCTCCCTGCAATTAAATCAGGGCTAATGGAGTTGTTAATTCATCCTTCAGAACAGGTATTTTTCTTGTCAGTTTTAATTGCTGTAGACTATGACAGAAAATTAACTTCTGGATAAGTAAGAGCAGGCATTTCAAACTCTGTCCTAACTCTGCTGATGGAGATATTCAGCATCAAATTCTAAAGCAAGACAAATGTTGAGTGTTAAGAGTAGTTATGCTATAATCTTGTTATATAAAACATTATTTAAACTGTTTTAAGGAAGCAAACTTAACAGGAGTAAGTACTTGGACAGTACCTTTAACATGGGTTTCTTTTTTGTGAGGGGGAAAAAATCGCAAATAAATAAAGTAAATAAAATGTAAGGCACTGCTTTTAACTAGAGCTCTCACGAATTCTCAGCATATCATTCTGAATGTTGATTAAATTTCCATTTTTAAAAGACACAGTACAGTTTTTAAAATGAAATTTGTTTATGAGGGAAATTCATACTTTTGTTTACCCCTAGAAGCTGTGACTTTGTAGCCTTCTTGACAAAGACAAACACGCTTTTTGTAAAAAAAAAAAAGAACAAATGAAAACCCCACAAAGTTTTTTGGAGCCCTGCTGCTGGAACAGCAGCATTTTCAAGCAATGTGTGAGATGGACACTTAAATAGAGCAGTGGGATGATCAGGTTATTTGGGGTCACACTTCTGTGCAGGTGGAGAGCTCTCCCACTGTTAGCATTTCAGCTCTTTTCAGTTATATTTTTTATTTTTTGCTTCTTATGGATTTAAGGTTCCTTTTTATTCTTAGCACAAGTGCAGTCTGTGTGTGGAGGGAGTCCTTGGTCGGCTGCCCGGCTTCTGCCCCTCTGCTCTTCACCATCCTCAGCACAACTGGGAGAGAAAACATGGATGCACCCATTTCTATCGTGGGCAAAACAGGCTTGGGGAGGTTAAACTATTTCCAATGAAAATAAGTTTGTACGGTGAGGTAAAAAAAAACAGATTAAAGCATTAATTCCAAGCAGAGCAGGGGATAGGGAACCATGAAGCAGCTCCTCCTTCAGGCTCTCCTAGCACTGTCAGCAGTGAAATCCTTGCTCAGTTACGCTTTGTCCCTTCCCTTCCTGCTCCTCCATGTCACAGCCACTTATCACACTTGTCCCTCACCCCTGGGTGGCCATTTTTATTTTTAATTTATTTATTTTATATTTTTTTCCGAGGCTCTGCCTCCCGAGCCCGCGGGGCCGGGCAGGCCTGGGCTCCCCTCACAGGCCTCACACAGGGCCTGGTTATAAAAACACAGCACTTGCCCCTCCAACTGCTAATTTCAAAATGTCCCACTTCACAGGTTCCAAAGACAATAAAATATAAAAAAAGGGAAAATTATCATACATTTTTGGAATTTCGTTTTTTAAGCCTTATCCCTTAAAAGTGGTAAAATTTATGGTTTTTCCTATGAAAGGGAGCAATTGCTTGTGCTCCCAGGTTTCTCTCTACACTGAGGCTGTGGGGAAAAGTTGTGATATCTTATGAGCTCTGGAATTGATCATAAGATATATGGTAATATATTAATTACTTATATTTCTGATTGAAATGATGAGGCCTTGGTGTGTATCACCTCTCCATTCTCCCAACAGAAACAATATTGGGACATCCACTTAAAACCAGCATCTTTGTTGGGAGGGAGGAAGTGCTTCCTTTTTCATCTTCAAAAAACCAAAGCAAATACCAAACAAATAAAAATAAAAACTCCAGAAACAAATACCTAATTTAAATATATATTCCACTCCCCCCAGATTTTGTGATATCTCATATTTCTTAATCTATTGGGGGGGGAAGGAAATCACTGTTTATCTTCTTCTTCTTCACTTTCCCTGATAATGCATTTACTTTATGCATATTTCACCAGTCAGTTTAATGTTTTCATTAAACAGGCAGACACGGGGAAAAAAAATACACTTTTTCCAAAGCAAGATTTGTTCCTAAGTCGTTTACTTGATCAAAAAATTTTTTTCTTCTTAGTCTCATAGAAAATTCTGTAAACAGGGTGTTCTGTGGAGCAATGTTTATCTATGAATTGCACTTACATCAACAAAATCAATATCTGCTGGAAGTGCCTTGCAGACAGCTGCAGCAGTGTCAATTATTTGAAAGTAGGTATCTTTTTATGGAAGGCTGTCTTCTTGAACTTTCCTTTGAATTTTTTGCATAAAATAAATTAGTTCTTCCATCAGTAAATTAGAAGATTGTAGCGAGTAGCTGTTCAAATCAACATGTTGTCATCATTAGGCACCTCAGATCCATATTAAAATGTGGATATATTAGTTGTCTTTCCTCCTCATCCCCTCACACCTAATCATAAAGCTGTCTTAGATGCATGATTTGCAGCTGAGCTGTAAAAATGGCATCAGTCTCTTCAGGCACAGTTTCAGGTAGTTACTCTGGCGATGCTGTGATTGAACTAGGAGATGGAAAAAGGCCTAATGAAATAACCTTCTGGTCAGACAAAGCAGCTCAGGAAAAAAAGTGTTTCCTTTTGTTCTGGATGTTGTTTAATCTTCTAGCACTTAGCTTACATAGAGCTTTGGACGGTTTAGCTTTGATCAGCTTCAAATGTGAAAGAAGAATATGTGTGTCGGTTTCATGTCTCTCTCAGGGCGCTTTCCTGGTGTGCTTGGAATGAGGTGTTCACAACCTAATTTGAATCTGTTTTCCCTGTGTTTGAATCCACCTATTCTTAATGTCTTTTTTTTTTCCTTTCATGCATTTATATCTGTGGCATGAAGAACCCATTCTTTAGAGTTATTGCTGAAAGAGAGTTTGAGAGTGTTTAAGGTAAGGGAAGAGTTCTTAACTACTTTGAACTTAGTAAGATTAACTGTTAGGTTTTTGTGTCAGCTGTGATTGTTAACATGTCTTGGTTTTGGTTAAAAAGCCACGGGGTAATCGTTGTTTTTTAACAAGTCAGTCACACATATTTATGCATACAGAGAGAGGTCATCTCTTGTCTTTGTAAACACAATATTATTAAAGTATCCAGTGTTTTGTATCCTTGACCCCAAACAGGAAAAATAACAGCTAGGGGATAAGACCTGGGACTTCCATTTACCAGGTGCTTATAGATAAACTGCTTTCATGCTTCCCTGTCACGTGTAGACCTTCCCAAATCCCCAGGACCAAATAACCTTTTCCTGCTATTAACTATTCAGAAAATTCCAGGGAACACTTAGGTGCTAACAGAAGTGTCAGAAGCACAAGTACAGCAGAAATTACTTATCTCTTGTAAAGTGTTTCACTGCAAATGCTTTAGGAGTGGTCGCACACATGCTCCTGCAGGGCTTTCAGGGTGGCAGTGTACAGCCGCAGCTGCTGTTATCCCAAGACAAGAGATGTTATTTCATTTAGGCAGAGTTTGTTTAGAGTGTACAGTCATAGCTGCTGTTATCACAAGACAAGAGATATTATTTCATTTAGGCAGAGTTTGTTTAGCTTGGAGGGAGCAGTTCAGGACAAACAGTGATTTGGGGACATTATCAAGTTCCAAAGCAGGGGGTTTGATTTAATATGTTGTCTTTTCTCAAAACACCAAGGGAATGCATGCTATTCGAATGCACAAGCTGCAGAAAGAAAGAACTAAAAGCTTGCAGTTCTTGAGATAAGCAAGTTTCATATTTGAGTATCTCCATAAACTTTGTGAAGAGAAACTACAGACCACTTTAGGAGCAGTACAAGTGGTACAATTACAGGAGGGAAAAAGGGGTGATGGAGTAGATAAATCTTGATATATAAATATGGTGAAACAGCTGTTTAGATAAACTCTTTAATGAATAGGGTAGAGCAGACAAAAAGGAATTTGTGCTTTTGGCACTGACTAGAGCTTGATGAGATATACAGATATTTCAACCAAACCTCATCAAGGTTGATACAAATGTGTATTGAAACTGACTTGCTGATATAAAAAGCACTGTATCATCATGTTTCTGAAAGAATTAAAGGCCACTGATACTGATTAAAAAAAAACAAACCAAAACAGAACAACTCTGCATTGGAAAATGGGTAATTTTTAGCCAAGTGTGTTTTTTCAAATGTTCATAAAAGAGGGTTGTGTGAGGAAATTCCTCTTTTTTTGTTCTTCCTGGGTGGTTGGTGCATAAATGAATGTTACTTCAAGTCACTTCTACTACAGAAAGGAAAAGTCCCAGAAGGCAGCAGTGTCTTTAAATGATGTAAAGCTCTGTGTCACTCTGAAAGCTATCTGTAAGGATATATGATGCTGCATGTTAGGATGTACACTGGTGAAATTACTTTTTTATCTCTGTGCCTGTATCTCAGGGCTTATTCAGAGACTTTTGGCCACAGTCTGTGGTTTTACTCTTAAGTAGCTATGGAATGACTGACCAAAAAGTTCTGAAGTCACTGAAAAAACTTATTTAAAATTGTGCTCAAGTGAGCCAGGTCTTGTAAACTCTTAAGTTGAAGCTGCTGTCATGGAGCTTAGAGATATTAAATAGTTCACAGAAAATTTTTCAAACTTCTTGCTTTTTAGAACTGTAATCTAGATGCTAAACCCTTTTTAAAAATCCTTTTTCTTATTCTTTTCCTCAAGGGCCCTTCATTCAGAAGTGTGCTCCACTGACTGATTTTAATACGTTCAGGCAAGAGAACCAATTCATTTTTTCTCTGCAAGGTAATGATTACCTAAAAAAAGAATAAAAAGAAAAAATGATACCAGCTGCAATCACAGCACAAAAAGCAAAGAAACCTAATAGCAATCACATTCACAGAGTTCTTAAGTAGAGAATATTATTGTCCTAGGAATCACTTATGACTGGTAGAAAACGTGGAAATATTTATCTAGACTTTAGGTCTGCTGGTGTGTTGCTTTCAGTAGAACATTTTGTTTTGGAGTCAGAGGCACAGAGAATGTGCCCTTATCTCTGATACCTGGCACTAACATCCAAAAAACACTCAATTTCATACAACATCCTGAAAACAACTGTTAAATAGAAACCTAGAAGTCTAAGTGTGTAAATGATAAAGTTTTCTTAAGTCACTGGGTGAAAAAGTAAACATTTGGAGTTTAAACTAGTTTAGAGAACAGAAGACAAGATGGAGGATTTAGGGTGTTGTCTCTTGTCCTTCTTCTTTCTTCATCTTCTTCTTCTAGAGGTTTTTGGGTAGTAATGAGTGATTGGATAGAGAATGCTGCAGTGCAGCACTCAGGTGTTGGGTCATTGGGTCACTAAGGAAAATAATTGAGTTGGCATTTGTTAATTGGGTAAATGGACATGTAAAAGACCTTGAAGAAGATCTTTGCTGACCATTTTGCATCTTTCTATCTTAGTGCACTCAGCTCCTTGTACCTTGTAATGTAGATAAGAGAAGAATAAACAAGAGTCTGAACAAGAGAAAACTGCTTCTCTCTCATCAATATCAGTCCAAGGGGAGAAAGAACCCAACCACGAGAGTCCTATCAGGACAATTGTGTACAATCTGGGGGCTTTTTATAACTCAGTTCCTTTATTCTAGGAGCAGCTCAGGAAAGCCTTGCCAGTTGTATGAATGTCCCTCTCAGTAACACCTGCAGCAGCTCTGGCACCCAGATGTGTGTGTGACACATCAGGTGAGTCCCAAGTACTCCACAGCAGCACTTTGCATTTGGGATGTCAGTGAGGAATTCAGTTCTCCAAGTCTGGATGATTGGAGAAGTGTGATTTGCCTTTCATAAGCAGCTGGGTGGGATTATGTGCTTTGCTGCTGCTTACTGTGTAAGTGCTAAAGTGTTGGCAGAACCTACAGCACCAGGAAATAAGAATTCTTGAAAGATACTGAGCTAAGTAGATTTTGACTCTTAGGTACAAAATAGAACAAGGACGTGCTGTTTGTTTACCATGGTAACACTTGGAACTGAAACCTTGGCGTAACTTGTGTTATTTCACAGTTGGATGAAAGAATGCATTAAGAAAGATTCAAATCAGGATTTGAAGTGCTGTGCTGCTTCTAGGGTAGCACAGGTCTAGGTGACTGTGTGGGGCACCAGAAAAAAACAAACTTCTTGCCAGACTTAACTGTTTGTAGATTCTTAACCATTATTGGTGGTGTTCAGCTCACAGAGGCTGTGTGTGGTGACTTTGCACCAAAGCTGTCTCTGATTGAGGCAATAATTGGGTAGGGATTCATCCTGCTCTGCTATTAGCAGTTCTAAACTCTAACATAGGTTTGGTCTGTGAACCTATAAGATGCTGTAAAGCAAGGATAGGAACGCATTGGAATGACAAGTTAGAAGACATCCTACAAAGGATAGACAACCATTATAAATCAGGTAATACTGGAGAAGCACACTAGATGTTGTCTGAACTCTGCTTCGTTAAAATTAATGGAAGTTTTGTGATCAGATCCAATGAAGAACATGAATAAACACTCCTGAAAGCCCTGTCCCTTGCTGCCAGTTCCTTATCCACTTGGCATTGTTTAAATCTGTTGATGCACTTACAAATTGCCTCAGGAGCTGGCTCTTCTGTTTCAATCCCAATACACAATTGGACTGAAATTTTCAAAGCAGATCATTGATTAAAACTGATGGGAAAAAGGGTTTCTAAATTATCTGCATGTTTTGAAAATTTTAGCCTTTGGGTTCAGTCTTTAATCTGTCCTTAACAAGTAGAATTCTCACAGGGACTTTTGTTTGAATAAAACTACACACTTTGATCTTTTGGCAAGAAAGTTTTGCAGGAAACTGGTTGCTGCAAGCAGAGTTTGTGCAAGAAAACTTCTAAAGTACATGAGAACAGCACCTTTTCCCAGTTATAAGTACCTAAATTCCTTTTGCTGATTGTGGTGGTAGGGTCTTGGTGAGCAAGAATATACTAGCAGGTAATCCAAAATACAAATAAAATGAAAATAATTACTTCAGTTGACATTCTGCCTGTTTCTAGTTGATGTTTTTTATTTCACAAAAAAAAAAAATTCTTTCATGTGTCATTACAATTTTAATTTTCAGTGGCTGCTTCTTGAAAAATAGAGACAATATTTACAGGCTGGTGAACATAACTGCGTGTGCTGCTTCTGTTTCTGAAGAGGCATTCTCAGAAACATGAATGCCATGATCTCCTGTCTAAGCACCATCAGTAGTGCTGTATTCATCTGAATCTAAACTCCAGAATTCTGTGTTTCTCTATATTTTTGCAAAGATATTTATGACTCAAACCAAAATGCAGCTCTGCTGTTAAGGAAATCCAGTTTACAGGCTTGAAAGAAAGTAGTGTTTTGCATTTTTCTTTTAGCAGTTCAAATGATCCCTTATTTATTTTGAAGTGAGGCATAGCTACTCTTCAGATTTATGTTATGTAAAACAGTGAGAAAATTACATCTATCAAGACAAAAAACCAAGCAAGATGTTCTGCTATGATTCAAATTCTGCAAGACAAGAATTTCCAAATGTATCCTTTTTTTTCAGTGAAATAGTGGTGATAGTGGACAACATCCCACTCTTGAAGTCTGGAGAAAGTGTATAGGGACTCTGTGTTACATCAAGTAGTACTGCACTTAAAGGAGGCCTAAAGCTTTTAAATTCCAGAGATGCTCTGCTTTCCTGTGCACCAGTTGGTTTGGGGTTTTTTGGCATCAATACTTCTGCAGCCAGGCTTTAATTTTGCAAATGCTATGAACTATAGTTAACCTCACTTCTGTTTAGAAATGATTCTCAGTTAAAGGTACTTCTGAGAAGTGTCCACTGCCCTTTTGTAATCCTTCAGGACATTGAATGAGGGAAAGCTCATAAAAGAAGTAAGAGAAGAGCAGGAAACCCTTGATGAAACAATGAAGTCTGTGCATGTGCAGCTGCCCTACAAAACTGCCTTTCCTAACACCGACATATCATTTATTTCTATTAGAGTTCCTTGGTTTTGGTGGTGATTTATTTGGGGACATACCCAAACAAATGTCTGGTGGGAAAGGGGAGAACCAGGTGGCATTTGTTATGAGTTTTAAATTTTTCCTGCTGACAACAGTTTACCAAGCACAAAAGTTGAGTCTTGATCAAGAGGTATTGAGGAAATTCATGCATTATTTATGTCTGTCTGCGTGGAGAATGATTTTCACAATATATTTGTGTCCAGGAGTCAAAATGATGAATAGAAACAGAGCAGTCACTTTATAAGGAAGAGACAAGGCTGGGAAAAAAGGCAGCTAGGAGATAATAAGCCTGAAAGTTGATATGATCAATGTTCACAAAATCATGAAGGTCATGGGTAAAATGAATACAGAGTTGTTATTTCCCTATCCTGGAACGTTTGAGCTGCAGTGTATTGATGAAACTATTAGGAGTTTGGTTTAAAGCTCAGGAGAAAGCACTTGGAATTCTGAGATTTATTGCCAAAGGAGGATGTGGAGGCAGATTCAAATCTGTGGCCAACAAGTCCATGCAAAGACACCAAGGGAATAGGCAAGGGTGTACTTTCTAATATCTTTCACCTGATAAGATGCCAGTGAAACATTCCAACAGGGATATCCTTATGTATCGTGCATTTTTAATCTTCTGTATATTAAAAACTGTACCTATAGATAAACCCTAGGATTTGGAAGGAGATTTTAATTTCAGCTGGATTAATGCTTTGTTATTTTATAAGTAGAATAATAGGAAGGTTTTTTCAAGAGGGGTAGTTTCAATCTGAAACTAGAAATACACCTTTCAACAATTCTTCAGCCTATTGCATATGGATCAACAAAGGAATGCTGAGAAATTCTGAGGTAAATTTCTGGTGAATCTGAATTTGACAGTGTGTTGGCATGGTACTCCTACCATCTCTCTGCTTTACTCCTGCTGTCCCCAAAACGGGACACTTGAAACACAAAGCACTGAGCTAGATGGGCTGTTTTGGTGGCTGGAGCATGGAGCATTATTGTGGAACAGACATTTTGCATCATCAAACAGTAGCTGGCGTGTGTTTGGCAGCGGAACAATCGTGGAGGAGATGTCTCAGTGTCAACGTGATCTTGTGACAAACACCTGTCCCTGTGGGACCACGGCTGTTGTGTGGTTGTAACAGCAGAATTTGGGTGTTCTCACACATCAAGCACCACCTCATATAAAGGATTAGTGTCTGACTGATGTCTCATGATGGACATTTGTCTCTGGATGCCCTGAAAAAGCTCTGAAACAAGTGTTCTGGAGGGGGGTCTCAAATGTCAGAGATTAGGTTCTCAAAAATCCTGTGTGTTTCAGTGCTAATAGTTAATATCTGATTTTGTTAATTTTCTATAGAATGCATCCTTCGAGTTTGACAGGTCAGCTCAAAATTTCTGTGGTCTTTTCTTCTCCAACTTTAACCTGAGCTTTATAAAAGTGAGGGCCTGTCCAGCCTTGGAAAACTCCAAGTGAGCCTGACAAGCTTGTCATTCTCATCTACTTTTGCTTGCTTTTATCTATCCCTAAGGCATCTTAATTTACAACTCCTTTTTTGCTAGGCTGTTAAAGAGATTTTGTGCAGAGGCTTTGGTTTATTATCTGATGCTCTGAAATACTGGGTCAGCTAGAACTGCATCAACTAAAAATTGATTTGAGGCAGATTTTTTTTTGTTGTTTCTTTGCTTGTTTTTGTTTTTTTCTGATTTGAAATTTATCTGATAAATTAAGCAGTTGTTTTTTGTGACCTTGCCACATGGTAATGTGTGCAGATGAGGGGGAAACTGCATCTTCCTGGGATTCACTGGATGCCACAGATTTGAGTTTTCTTGTTTCCTTTTCTAACAAAAGAGGTGGGCCTCTGCCCGTGTGTGTTAAGGATCAAAAATTCACGATGAAAGAAAAAAGTAGTTGAATTGCAGTTGCAAATATTTTTAATTAAATTTTTAGACTTTCATTAATGTGAGTAACAGAGATGATCCCTTGTTGCAGGAGATTTTAATGAATTTTATTTATGGAATACATGAACAGCCTGAAGTTTCTTGCCTTTATCCACCATTTTCTCATAAGGCATAAAGCTCCCATTTCTCTAGTGGTGATCAGCTGCAAATATTTTTTAGCTCTGACAGAAAGATTTCTGACCTTGAATCAGTAAAACTTGAAAGAATTGCTTGAACCAGAGAACAATTGACAGCTGTAGCACAAATCTGAGTCCAATGAACGTTGAATCTCTTGTGGTTTAGACCTCAGACTGCAAAAAGCTGACAGTCCATCAGAAATCTCATATTTTTTTCCTGGCAAAGGGTTTCTGAGAATAAAGTGGGAAGTTTTTTAGAACACATATTAAGAGGAACTAAAATCTGTAATGAGGTAATGGATAGGGTAGTAAGGGGTTACATTCTTGGGTACTTGATTTCTTGTAGGAAAAATTCTGGTTTCTAGCAAAGGATTTAGTAACAGTCAGAAATATGAGAGAATGCATGACCTGTCTCACAAAGCAGAGAAAGGGTATAAAATACTGTCCTGGCTGTATTAAAACACATAAAACACTGGCAGAGGCTACAGAAGATATCTCTGTGTCTTAGAAACATCCAAGAGTTTGAGATGAAGAGAAGAAATGCATAAGGCACGAAAATCCAGAATTTTGGCTGAAGATCTGTTCTTACAGCCCTGCATTCTCGAGGTCTTTCACGACATGGAATGAGAGTGTAATTTCTCTGACTATTCTATAGCACATCTGTTAATAGCATTTGAATTTTCTCTAATTGTTGTCTGATTTTTCTCAGCTGATACATGGGCTAGTTAAATAAGAGAGCTTGAATAGGTGGGACACCATAAAAGTGGAGTAGTTAATGTCTGGAGAACTTCCTGACCTACAGAATTGTGCTAGCATGAACATTGGGCAGCGCTGGGTCCAGGCTTCTAGAAGGCATTCCTGAGCAACAAAAAAAAACAAAACTTGTTTGGTTAAAAAGAATGTTTTGTACATGTCACTCAGTTCTTAAATGAAAAAGAAGTTGTTGACAGCTGACAGCTTGGATCCTTGTATGTTACAGCTATTTCCCACTAAGAAATGATGTTTCAAATAACCTGGTACCTCAGGCTAGAGTGCCTTGTAAAAGCAGAAATATTTCCCGTGGCTACGTTATGGTTGTTGAAAATTTTGTGGTTCTGTGAGTGCCAGTCCCATTAGAGGCTCTGTAGAGATCAGTAATTGCTATGACAAATCATGTTTTCATGCTGGAAAACAGATGCTTTATAGACAATTAAAAAATAAAAAAAACCTTGCTTTTTCTAAACCAGAAAAGATTTATAGCAAGAAATATTTTTGGTTATATACATTTGAATTAAAGAATTTGTTTACTTATGCTGAGATCTAAGTAGTAAACTGCTACCTGTGCTCTGTAGCCAATATTCTTTTTTGTTCTTTGCACCTTTCATGTTATTGAAACATTCTGCTGACCAGTGTCCTGCCAGCAAGGCTTTGTGTCAAAATTCCATTTGTGTTTTAAGGTGATGGTTACCTGGGGGGAATTTGTGACTGAAGGAGGCAGTGGGACTTCCTTTGATTTATATCCTACTCTGCATGGGCTAACAAGAGTATGAAAAGATTAAATATGGCTCCAGTGGCAGGTTCCCTAGAGCTCAATAAAGATTTAGTGATTATGTGTGTGTCAAAGATATTTTCAAAAGGATTAGGGCTTGAGGGGGAAAATGTGGGTCTGAATCTGCCAGAAGCTTTTCCAAAGGGAGATGCAGGACCTTCTTCCTTGAGACACTCAGAATTCACAGAGCCACAGAGTAGTTGGGGTTGGATGAGACCTCTAGTCTAACCCAAAATTTAATGAGACAAGACCATAAAAAGCAAGCTGACTCATCCTTGAAGTTATCATTAATTTATCCTTGAAGTTATCCCTGCTCTGAACAGGAGGTAACAATAAGCAAAAGCATAAATTCCACTACGAATTTGTAATTTCATAATAAATTCAAACATCTCATAAACTTCTGTGAGGTTTCTGTTTGCTGCTTTTTGGGAATTCCCTCCACAAGAACTAAAAATCCTCCAGCTTCAGTGTTTGCAGGCTACTAATCCAAGTCAGGATGCTATTTTGCTGTTCCTGGGAGCAAGTACCAAACCACTTTTGTGTATCCAAAATGCTTGAACATGTGGCTTTTAGAAAAGAAAATAAGATTTATGTCCTTTCCTGATGTTTCACAGGAATAGCTTGCATGAATAAAGGGAAATCCTGTAGCAAGTGGACCTATTTTGAAAATTAAACAAATTTATTAAAAAAATGAAGCGTTAGGACACACAGAAAAAATAAAGCCCTGAAGCAAAGCAATCCATTACGAAATACTTCAATAAAAACACTCCTTTGATGGCAATTTTTATAGAAATATTAGTTAAAGTTGCATGTGCTTCCAGAGAGGTAGGATATGATTTTATGTTAGTTGTTAAACAGGTCATTAATATTCAGTGCCAAAATCATTATTTTTCAGCAAGTAATGTAATTCCAAGCTGTCCAGAGAGAAGGAGCGAGCCTGTGCTGAGAAATGTGCTTTTGTCGAGGTATTGGGTGTTCCTGGGCACCGAAAATCCGTCATCCTGAGAATGTTCCATTCTATATGAGCGCTGCTGAAGCTCTGAATGGTCTGTCAGCACTTTTATTAGGCATCTTATTATTAGGGAGTTTATAGCTTGGCTGTAAAGCCCTTGCTGGAGGCTAAAAGTAGTTAAATAATACTTTTCAGAGCACTGTTTTGTGCCAAATTTAATTCAGATAGCTTTAGGCGGTTTTCCATGTTCGTATCAGAAGGCAATATTCAAGCTCTGATGGAAATCTTTTGAAGTGAGGCAAGGCAAAATACAAATGGCCTAGGCCTGCAGCTTCACTCTTAGGAGGCAGTAAGACAGCCTAGTAGAGCAGAATGAATTTTTCATGGAATAACCATATCCAGGGGCTGCAGCAGCGGGACCCAGCGCTTCAGGGTGAATGATAAAGTCCTGATTGAAACAGAATCCTGGTTTGCCTGGGTAGGGCCTGCAGGACTGGAGCACCCTGAGGCAGGTTGTGGAAACTCTAAATGACTCCCTCTGACAGAAACAGATGACATTGTTTCAAATGAAAACTCTTAATTTGAAACGCTGTAGAAACGTCCTGTTGCTTTTTTTCTGAGTAATACCCAGAGAGCAGCTCAGCAGAGCAGGGAGCTTGCAGGGCTCTGTTTTCCCTTTGTTCTTGGAACAAATGCTCTCATTTTGTACACCAGCAATCACACTTTGCTGGGGCTGTTCTGCCAAGTCAAAGCAAAGAATTTTCAGGAGGAGGTGACAAAAAGTACTGCACCACTTTATTTTCACTTCAAGACCTTGGACATGGAATCGAATTACTCTCAAACTTAACAAAAATTGTTGTCAGAGAAGTTGCATAAGCCTGTTGCTAAAGAATCTAACCTTAACAGGAAAAAAAAAAAAAAATAAAGATAAAACATAATAATTTCTGTGCAAACATACTTGTTTTATTTCAGCACAACACGAGGGGACAGATTGCCACATGGAGTACATGTTGCTTCAGTGATTCTCACAAAGTCTTTCATCAGCTGCCAGTCACAGGCAAGTTCCTGAGGGTGAAAAATTTTCCCCATGTTCTTGTCAGCCGTGCTGTGTGTGGAGAAAGTTTCCTGAACTGATTGGCAGTGCCTTCCTCCCGAACCAGCACGCTGTGGAAATCTCTTGGTTGGTTAAAAAAGCTCTGTCTGCAATGGACACAGCTGTGGAGCAAGCTGAAATAGAAGTTGGTAGAGGTAGCCAGATTTTATTTACTTTTTATTATAAATATTATTTATTATCTTGGTGGTGGTTTGAGGTTTCCTGTTTTTATTGTTTGTTTTTTTTTTTTCTTTTTTCTTTTTTTTTTCTTTCTTTTATTTCCCATAACTTTTGGTCCCTGAAAGCATGCAATTCCAGGAAGAAAAACAGAACTAAAGGAGTTCTTCCTCTTTCATTTGCCTTTCATCTTCATTCCTTCACCTGTGTCCCACCAAAGGCAGTTCCAATGCAAACCATCACCTGGTAAATAGTTTCAGGTAGCTTCTGTGAGAATCCAACTGCAGTGGAACATTAATTACTTAGAAATCCAATTTATGCAATTTTTGGCCAAAAGCTAATTTGTAAGTTTGTAAGTTTTTGCAGGTTAAATAATTGCTTATAAAATTAGCAGTGAGTGAATATTAAAGGTGAAGCCCTCTGAGCACAGCCAGGAATCTAATTCTGAAAATGTGGATCTGATTAATTGCATCAGGCTATGAAGCATTACAGCTGTGCTAAATGTTGGGCAATGCGAGACTATCGACCTCTTCACTTCTTCCACTTTATTACAGTGGAGAATCTTCTCTGTGGTAGCTTTCAATTTAAACCACGGGTTATTCCTGTTGTTTTCAGCACACCTATGGAAAAATGTAACAGATAAAGGGTTCTAAAAGATTATTCAGTAGTCTTTCTTCTCAGGAAAAATTAGATAGATGATGTTCAGATTTTGAGAATGCCTTCAAAGTAAAGGAACTGTCAGTTGTAATTTATAATATATCTTTCCCCCTGTCCTGCTAAGGAAATTTGTTTATCCAACATTCAAGGCAGCTGCACTTGCCTTCAAGTCTCTTCTTCAGTATATTCCTGCCCAGAAAAATCTAATATGTGGCTGCTGAGCTGCGTGGTTTACGAGAGCTCATCCACAACATGGAGAATTTTTCACTCTATTGATTTGTGGAAGCAGGACTGGTTTATTTTGTCCTTCAGTATTTAATTTGTTTTCAGTATTTTTTTTTCATTTTTGCCATGCATAAAGTGGTTTGCTTTTTTCTGTAGATGTTCCAGGTTTCAATTAAATATCCAACAGAACAAATATGAATGGAGCAAAGATACTACAGACAGCTAGAGCTGAAAGGTACTTGCATCACGAGATGTGATTATGTCTACAGCATTAATCTATGTTCTATACCTAGAAAACATTTTTTCAGACTTGAGGAAAACACTGTTATTTTTGAGCCTTTTTAATGCTTTTCTCTCTTTGAAGGAAACTGGCCAACAGTTTTGGAAATGTGAGGGCTGGAGGAAGGAGTCTGGCATAGAGGGTGGTCATGTTTTCTGTGCTTCCTTAGGCAATCAAGCTCAAAATGAGCAGGGAGATCTGTACTTACACCGAGTTTGATTACATATTTCAAAACCCAGCTTTGTGTGGAAGCACTTTGATGAATTTTTTAACAATCTCACAGAAATTCCAGAAAAACATTTGTACTGCCTATTACTTCAAAAAAGTAGTACTCAATTAAGGTATTTTTTCTTTAGCTAGTAGATTTTGCTTGATTTTTCATAAGTCCAAATGCTAACTTTTCATCATTGCATCCTTGTTTCAGACACCATGATTAAGCATAAGAAAATTAAAGTAGATGTTTAAAGAATATGTATATTCATGTAATATGTACATAAAGTCCACTGGGATAAAAGAAATATTGCTGTAGTTTTAAATTAATTATTGAGACATAGAATGAACACCTTATTTTCATCATTGCAGATCCTTATCATGCCCATTTCACTTTTACAGATGTGCAGAAACAAACTCTGTGCCTGAGAGACCTTCTCCAGGTGGGGTGATGTGAGGACAGAAAGGAAAAAATGACATTCTGTTGGATATATATCCCAGTGGCTGCTAAGAACCAGTCAGAGGAAATCAGGAAGAAAATTGATGAGATTACAACAATAAAAGAAATATGCCAAAGAGAGGTTTTTTAAAGTGCTGTTGAGACAATTAAAAAAGGGAAAGAAGAGAGTGGTTGATGAGCTATACACAAGTTTTCCTACTTTCAGGGGATGACAATTCTGCCAGCATCTGTGCTGCCTGCTTGAAAGGGTCTAGCATTCATTTGACTTCCGAACTTGTATTTATTATTAGCATATATCTTACCTTTAGTAACTTTTCTACTAGTCTGAAATCTGTCAAACTAGTGTTACATAAGCCCTGTAAACAGTGCAGATTACACAATGCCTCTTTTCCTAGTTCAGAAGAGGAAAGAACAATTAGGTTTATCTAACATCTCACAGCCCGTTAGATTTCATCCAGATACCCCATTTTACAGACAAAGATTGCAGTAAAAAAGTAAATTATGCCAATTAATCTGGGAGATATTACTTTGTACAACACACTGAGTAGCAGGGATCAGGATGCATTTACTGTCAAGGGTCTGCAGCAGCCAAAAGAAATGGAGTGAGATACGCCCAGGTGGTGTCAACTGCTGTTTGATAAATCTTTCTGTTGCATTCCAGCTTCCCCTAGAATCTCTATTAAAGAGGGTACCTGACAGCTGGAGATGTTCTTATTTTTTTGTTATCAACTAGGATTTCTTGAAACAATAATGGATGTCTCCATAAGCAAGAGCAGAGATAATTATTTGAATCTTTTTACTGGTCTTGTGCCTTGTCCCTTCCATTTGTAAATCAAGAATTTTTAAAATTTGTTTTAAGTGTTTCTGTACCATTTTATTATAAATCCCTTCTTCCTTAGGTCTTTAAAACAATTGCAGTTGGTGGGTTTTTTTTGTGTTTACTTGAGTCAGGTGGTGTTACAGAGCTTAGAATTTTCTTTTTCTAAACTTATTCTTTCAGCTTCCCTGACAATCCTCCAAGACCTGTCCTGTGGTAAGGAATTTTCTGAGCTTGGTTTTGAGATATTGCTCTTAGAGGAAAAAGGAAAACTCCCCCAAAAGAAAAAACAAGAATGCTAAAAATGAGTGCAAAATGCATCTTAAACCTTTTCTTAATGATTGCAGGCACCATCAGCTGAAGAATCAATGCCAGTGCAGGATGTGACTATCCACTGTAACCACGAGGAAAGTCATCAGGAGAAAATAAACGTGGCTTCAAGCTGCAGGTTCACATCAAAATCTGCATTGGATTCAGGTTTGCTGGCAATAAAAAGGCAGACCCTTAATTCAGTTCTGTCTTTAAGACTTAGAATTTCACAGGTTGTTCTTCCTAAATAGAAAATTCAACATGCTTGTTGTTTCTGAGTGGAAAAATTGCTTTCAGCAGAGGAAAGCAAACTGAGAGAAAACAGGAAATATCAAATAATTTGGTTTATGAGAAATTTGACTTTCTATTTCTGCTTTTTTGTTAATGCTCATCTCTTGAGGCAGTGTAATTCACAGGTTACACCAACCTCACACCTGCACAAGCTCTTGGACCCAGGGAGAAAGGAATGTTGTGGTAATACAATCCATCTCTGTGGCTTCACCTGCTTCATATTCCAGGACCTAGCTAAGTAAAATGAACAGTGGTAACCTTAGTAAAGAGCAGGTTTTGAGCCATTTCCCTGTGCAAGAACATTTATTTTATTTATTTATTTGACCATATTTTATTTTTTTTTTAATTAGCTGGTTCACTAGTAGCATGTCCTCAGTTTGTGGCACACTGAATGAAACTTGGGAATGTGAAACTTTCTTAAACTATCTTAGGTTCATGACTTTAAGTTTTCAAGACTTCAAAGTGCTTCTGACAACTGGCAGATAGCTCTACAATTTACCAGAAAAAGACCATCACACTATGAGGAGAGATTTAAGTGCATACTTTCTATGTTAAAAATAAGTCAAATTATCATTCTTTCTACCACAGCAGGCACTTTACAGAAAAATAATTTGTGAAAACAGAGAAAAGTATGTCCATCAAGGAATATATTTTAAAAATCAATATAGCAAGTAGATGTGTATAACTTCAGTGCATCTATTCTCTTGTGCCGTATGTTTTTATGTCCCCATTCTGTCAGTCTGCAGTTTTAAACAAACAGTTCCAAATGCCACTGGTATTTTTGCTTAAAAGACAGAATCTGTAACCCTTCAGAGATTATATTAATAGCTGCAGCACTTTGCTGTACGTGGTACTTCAGCATTATCCTTACATTCATAATCTAGGAGCACTAAATCTGTAATCACTAACCTTTCCTTTCTTACTAAAAAGCATTGTTAAATTAAATGATGCATTATTAATAAGCATTCTTGAAAATGGAACCTAGGAAAGTTAATGCACTTTATATTCTATTACAAAGATAAGCTTCACTAAATGTCTTTATCCACCTGTTTTGGCACTACAGTGCCTTCCCTCTTTATTGTTCACAAGGCTGATTATTTTAGCTCAATTTTTGCTGTCTGTTTTCTTATTCCTTTGCAAGTATGCACATGTAAGAAAAGGAATTCAAGGCCAGGTTGGATGGAGTTCTGAGCAACCTGGTTTATTTTTATTTCATAAACATAACCAGTAGGTATCTTTAGTTTTCAATTCATACACTAAAGCACAATAATCTAGTGAGATTATCATATCCAGAGATACTTTTCCAATCCACTTTATTTTTGGGGAGCATATTTCGAGGAAGGAATGTTGAGTAAACTTCCCATGTTCTTCAGTGTTACCTGGATCTTTTAAAGCCACTGCTGGAGCTCTGTGGTGCCAAGCCAGAGGGATGTCTGGATATTTTAAATAATTTTCTCAAAGTTTGGACACAAGTGATTTATCATCAAATTCATACTTTAATATGGTATTGATTAGAGAATGCCAAATGTGGAAATCTGTTACGAGTTTTGCATCTACTTTCTTCTTCTGATGTTATGAAAACACTGACATGCATGATTTTAGCTTAATTTCTTTTCAGAGAGGAATAATGTCTCTCTAGTGAGCTGCTAATGACAGGAGAACTGCTCAGAACATTTGCAATTTGTGCACCCTCGTGGGAATGGATTTTGTATTTTGTATTTTGTAGACCTATCTGGACAAATAGAGTAATTGCTCACCCGAATTCCACAGCTCTCAGCAGATACCAGTTTTGGGTAACTGTCCTGAATTTTCAAAAGTCTGCTTACCTGGACTTTAATTTATGTGTTCATTTTGCAGAATATATATTGTGTAGTACATGCTATAGCTTGCATCTCGTGGACTCATTCCATGGCCATTGCACATAAAGATATGGTAAGATAAATCAGTTTATCTTATAAAAAAAACACACTGATGCTTTTGGGGAGATAGAGGTGTGAAGCATTTTAAAAATATCTTAAAAAAGAAAACAGAAAAAAAAAAAAGGAAAACATTCTTTGTGAGGCTTTTGTTGTGTTTAAGAACACAAAGTTTGTGTTTGAAAAACCCACATTTGCTTGGACAGAACTGAGATCGTCCTTGTGCGTGGATTTTTTGAAATGGTACCAAAGGAAATGTTACATAGCTAAAATATGATAAAGAGGTTTTTCATTTAACTGTTCAGTGCAAACCTAAGATATGTTGCTGTATTCCTTGACACTTTAATATAAAGTTCTGAATCCACATTATGCAGATTAATTTCCAGCAGCAATTATAAACAGAGCAGTGCTTGGTGGTAGAATGGATGATGTGGTGATTCCAGCTTCTCTTTGGAGCTCTGCCTGGAGGTGCTGGAGAATCCAGGTGTGCCAACAGTGCCAGAAAAGCTGGAGCAGATTTGCTGGAAGTTTTGTTGGCACCCCAAAACCACTGCTGTGTTCCAGGCACTGGCTTTGTTGACTGCCCAGTGGTGAGTCTGATTTGGAGGCTTTACACTTCCACAGGTCACTAAATAACTCCATTTTTGCCTGGGGGAAGCTGTTAGGAGTCTGCCTCTCTACTAAGGTTTATATTTTAAATTATTTGATTTACTGGTGTCCAGGATGATGGATTTCAGCCTCTTGATTTCTAAATAAGCCTTTTCACATGCTTTGTGTCATGTCTAGCAGCAGTAACAGGTATCCATAAGCAAGCATCAAGGAATAGACTGGTACATTTGTATTAGGCTTTAGTTTGGAAATTTTTCTTCTTGCTGTCACATCATGAGCTCTGCAGCTGAAGAGAAATTTTCTGTTTTGACCACAAGACTTTGCTTCATTTCAAAATGAAATGAAAATTTCCAAACAAGCAAATCTTGGCAGAACTGCAGCCATTATTTAAAGGCAGAATTTCAGATCAGAACAAGAGAAGGTGTCATGCCACGTTCCCTTACCCCACAAAAGTTACAGCAGACAGCGGGCTAATGCTGATATTCCCCAAGAGTTGGATATTCCAGTACAAAATCTGGCCTCTTCCTATTCTAAACACAAATTTAAGTCCTTAAACCTCCCTTTCCTGAGTACTCTAAACAAAATTATCTCCGTTTTGAGACTCTAAGTGGGCACAGGCTTAACAGCTTTTAAAAAGTCTCAACTTGGCTTTACTGCAACATCAGAGATGTTTGTGTAAGGCAGGAGAACTGTTCCCATCTCATGGCTGTCCCTGGATTATGTCTAGCAGCATTTTCCTCTACATGTCCAGCTGTGTAAATTTGTGGCTTGTGAGAGAAAACTTCATATTTAATGATTCCACAATGAGCTTTTGAAAAGTAAATGATGTGATTGTTGTAGCACTTATCTTTTCAACTTATGTCAATCAGTTTTTTTGATTAAATGGCAATTTTCTTTTGTACTAAGCTATACATAGAGCTTTCACTTTGTACTTCCACACTTCTGGAACTTTTTGGTGCAATGATTAAAGACTTGCTTTTGAGTGGTTTTGACACCTTTTGACAACTTTTTCCTATTTCTTGTGGCTGTGCTATGCAATGCAATCTGTCAAGGATAAATATTGGGCTAGAATAATAGTGGATTTTATATACATTATTCTGTATGTGGTTTAAAATAGGTAAGCAATTTAAAGAAATCTTGAGGGGAAGTGCCATTTAAAATTCTATGAAACATGTCACTCAAGTCAAAAATGTCCCAGATGCTTTCATTTGCCATTCTAAATAAAAACTGAAAGAGTTGTCAGGCAAGATTTTCCAACTTAAAAAGCTCAGCAGAAATGGAAAGTGAGAAGCTAAAAGGGAGCAAACCTCTCTGGAGAGGTTGTCCAAACAGCAAGTGGGTGAGTGGTGGAAGTGTCTCAGTGTCACAGAACATTTGGGGTGGAAAAGGATCTCTAAAAATCATCTAGTCCAGCCCCCACTGCTCCTTTATCTCTTGGCTGTCCTCAACTTTACTGCCCCAAGATAAGAAGAACAAACCAATAAAGCATCAGAACCCAGCAGTGATATTTTCCTCTTCTATTTAAGGAAAAAAAAAAGGGCTTCTGTGCATAGAAGATGGCCAGGAGTACAGAGCACCAGCCATGTACCCATGGAAGGAATGAAATGCTCTGCTAGATCCTCCCAAGAGAGAAGAAATCTGCAGGGTGCACACCCCCAGCTCACAAGATGTAGTTTTGCTCCCAAATTCTGTTTCTATGGAGTTTGTGTTTGGGCCTGGAAGAGGAACTCACGGTGCCAGGACAATGGCAGGGGTAGAAAGAAGACAAAGTCGTGGGGTTGCAAGCAAACAACTCTAAATTTATTCTTTCTTTGAATCTATCTTCTTAAAAGGAGCCTAGTAGTTCTAACAATCCATACACAGACTACAGAGTATAAAAATCAGTACAGATTATGTATAAGAGTCACTGGGTAGACTATTTCAACCAATTAATACAAAGAACGTAACAATCTATAAATATTATTTGTAAGAATCAATACAGGGAGCATTTCTAACAATCAATACAAAGAGTATGAAAATTATACAGAGTATTTCTAAAAACACAGAGATTCTTTGTAAGAATAAATCCAGAGAGTATAAAAAACTGCACAGAGTATTTCTAACAATCAATCCAGAGACTGCTTGTAAAAATCAATCCAGAGTATTTCTTACAACCAATAGGGAGTATTTCTAACAATCAATAGGATATACCAATTCTACAGATTAATTCTAAGAACATTACAGAGCCTATTTAATCCATACAGACACTATTTCTAGCCAGAAATGGAGTATAACAAACAATCTAAATGATATTTCAGAATTCCTAAAACTTATTTTAAAAGTAGTAATAAAGAGATTCCTTCTATCAGTTGATAAGGAGAATATAACAATATTATTACAATTATTACATTTATTATATAATATTATTACATCTTACCCTTAAGAATCAATACAGAGAGTATAAAAAGCTATAAATAGTATTGCTAATCATCAAATAAGAGACTATTTCTGACAATGCAACCAACAGAATATAAAAACCAGTACAGTGTATTTCTATCAATCAGTTCAGAGACTATTTCTACCAGTTAATACAGAGAATATAACACTCAATAGATATTATTTGTAAGAATCCATACAGAGACCTTATCTAATAAATAGAGTATAAAACAGAGTATAAAATCTATACAGTGTATTTCTAAAACCACAGAGACTATTTGTAAGAATAAATCCAAGAAGAGTATAAAAATGTAAGAAGAGTATAAAAATGTAAGAAGAGTATAGAAATGTAAGAAGAGCATAAAAAATTACCCAGGGTATTTCTATCAATCAATAAAGAGACTACTTCTAACAATCAATACAGAGTATTTCTTACAACAAATAGGGAGTATTTCTAGCAATATACCAATTATACAGATATAATATAATATGGCATAGTATGATATAATATAATATGGTTAATATAATGTAATACAATATAATATAATATAATGTAATGCAATATAATATGGTTAAGGTAATCTAATACAATATAATGTAATGTAATATAATATAATATAATATAATATAATGTAATGTAATATAATATAATATAATATAATGTAATATAATATAATGTAATATAATGTAATGTAATATAATATAATATAATATAATATAATATAATGTAATGTAATACAATATAATATAATATAATATAATATAATATAATATAATATAATATAATATAATATAATATAATATAATATAATATAATATAATATAATATAATATAATATAATATAATATAATATAATAATACTAAGAATATAAGCATTACAGAGGCTATTTAAACTATCGAGAGACTATTCCTAGCAATGAACACGGCTAATAGAACAAGTCCCAGGAAGCATTCCCAGCAATGAATGCAGCAGGGAATGGCTTCCCCTAGTGCAGCCCCAAGTGTTGTTTGGTGTCAGCGAGGATGGGCAGTGGGAGCAGGGCGGCCGCAGCTGGTGTCAGCGAGGATGGGCAGTGGGAGCAGGGCGGCCGCAGCTCCCCGCAGCTCCGGCAGGGCTCTGCCCATGGAGATGGCCATGGCCCTGAGCAGCAGCAGCAGCTCTCTCAGGAGGGCCATTCCCTTGCAGGCTGTGCCCAGGAGCCCCGGGCCAGCGTGTCCTTGGCCCGGGAGCTGTGCTGCGGCTCCCCGCAGGCGCTGCCGGCCCAGCACGAGCAGCACAGGCCCGGCCAAGGCCAGCAAGGCTGCCGTGCTCCGCTGCTGCTCCTCCGGCTGCTGCTCTGCCGCTGGGGCCGGAGCCTCCTGCGGGGCTTCCAGAGCTTCCAGCGCTGCTATTTCCTTCTCCAAGAGCAGCCGGTGCAGCCGCAGCCGAGCCTCGCGTTCCTTCATCCTCTGCAGGCTTTCCATCTCCTGCTGGGCCTTGGGCTGCAGCGGCAGCCTGACGCTCGCCACGGCCATCAGCACCAGGCACATCCGCACGATTCCCTGCGGCATGGCTGCTGCTTCCTGCACAGGGAGAGACAGGAGCAAAGAGCCCGCATTCACACCGCATCTCCTCGGCAAGAGAAGCGACAGGAGCTCCCGCCGCAACAAAAGCTCGGCCATCCTTGCCGGCCCTGCAGGAAGGCCGGAGATGCTCCTCAGGGCGGGCCTGGTGATTCCAATTCCAAAGGCAGCTGCCCAAAGAGCAGAGCTCCCTGAGCTCTGGGCAGGAGGAGGAGGAGGAGGAGGAGGAGGAGGAAGGGGAGGAAGGTGCGAGACGCAGGGACACGAAGCCTGAGCAGGCAGGTTTGGGGAGGAGAAGCTGAGCACTGAGGATGGCAGAAGAAGCCAAGCGCGGTGGCCCAAGCAGGGGGAGGACAGGAAGGGCCCCCCAGGCTGGCTGCAGGCAGCCACTGCAGCCCTTGGCCAGATGTTCCCCCATGGGCTGGGCAGGGGCAATGCAGGGCCAGACCTACCGTGAGCACAGAATCCCTTCTCCGTGTGCGGTGTCAAGAGCGATGCCAAGTGGGTCAGTGAGCTGTGCCTTGAGCTGCCAGCGCCTCGCAGGCTGCAGGTGCCGCTGCTCGGCCACCCCACAGCGGTGCCAGCAGCAGCAGCAGCAGAGCAGCCCCAGCTGCGGCTGTGCCTCTCCGGTGCCGCTGCCCTCGCTCCTCCCGGGGCTCCACCGTTCTCTGCTGCCCTGGAGACAGCCCCGAGCCCGGCCGTGAGCTCACAGAGCCGGGGCTTCCACGCGTGGATTCCTCGGGCTGGGCAACGCTGGGGCCCTGGGCAGCCGCAGCTTCTGGGCTGAGAGAATGCGGTGAAATGAGGCTCCTGAGGAGGCTCTGCCCTTCAGGAATGGCCTGCAGAGCTTCACTCCATTTCAGCCTGGCTGCTGGCAGCTTGCATGGGGGCTTCTCTTCTTCACTTCTTCATCTTCTTGCTCCTGGATGCTTCTTCCTTGCCCTTGGGAAAACGTGCTCTAAGCGTTGTCTCGAGTGTCAGGATTGCCACAGCCACATCCCTCTTGCACAGCCCGCTCCATCAAGAGGTGGAAGTGCCTTTTTATTTCCACATCCTACACTGACTTTCCTCTTTCTCAAATCGATGGCTCCCATTTCTTGGCTGTGTTGCAGTGCTCAGGTACCCATGGTTGTCACCCAGAGGCCCATGACCTGTTCCACTGCACTTATTCCATGGAAAGAGATTTTCAGTGGAGGTGGCTGAAATGGATTTTCAATGGAGGTGGCCCAGAATTGCCATTTTCAGCTGAAAAACACCGGTCTAATTTGTGAAATTTTGTGAAATATTTTGTGAAAATATTTTTCCCTGAGATATTGTATTACCAAACTCAGCGGAATCATGTGCACAAGCTTTTGGATGTTTTGTAGGTATTTGGTTTAAAAGTAATTTCTTCAAGTTTTCTAGAGTAAAAAAATAAATTAATAATGGGAATTAATAATTAACGTACACAGGTTTGGCCTCAAAAATCTCTAAGTTTATTCTAAGATCAAAAGATATAGAGATGATAAAGAAATATATTTTTAATTTTTTAAGAGAAAGAACTACTGGGCAATTTTGTTTTGCACATGACTGAAAAGGCTCCAAGGTTAAATGCACTTTCTGAAGAGGAATAAATCCATGTCTTTGCAGCAGGTGTTGACTTTTCAAGAGGATTTCAGAAGTGTTCACAACCCTTCCCTTCTCCTTCATGAAATGTTTGATACTTGACTGTTACCAATAATCTTATTAAATCTTCTGTATTTTGTTCTTTGTGTTGCACTAGAGGGACTCATGATTTTTTTTTGTTTGGTTTTGTTTGTTTACCAAATTGTAATAAAGCCGTACAGACACAGGGCACTGCAAGATTTAACAAGTTACATCCCAACATATAAATAAATTGTGTAATAAACTTTGAAATTGTAGCCAAAAGTTCTGCAGAATTAGGGTTGAGTAAGGTAGGAAAGGCAGATTAGCTAATGATGGGGAGCCTTCAACTGATATTTCCACCAGAATCTCTAGAAGTGATATTTAGCTTTAATTCTTTGAAGTGATCACTGTCAAAATTTCAATTTTATGAGGAAAATTTGTGATTTTGTTGAAATGCTTTTGTGGGGAAAAAATTCTTTCTGCAAAACTTTTGTTTATTTCTAAATACTACTTCTCATCAAAGCCTTTTTTCTTGCTGGATCCTAAAATATCCAAAACACATGGATATTTTGATATCAACAAATATAACAAAGAATAATATGGAAAGCACACAGATATTTTTAAGGCAGTAATTAATGATACAGTTGCTATCAGGACCTGTTCTTTGTTCTCTTATTGTCTCCCTTCCAACAGCTGCTCCCCAACCTCCATCTCAGGTGATGGAAAAAATGTTCTGTTCAACCATCATCAATGAGCTCTCTGTCACTAGGCTTTATCCATAGATCTTCTTTAAAATATTCATTTTTTAATATATAAAACAATGAAATGATTATTGAAAAATATGAGAAGAAATAGTTATTTTTATAATATTTTTTCTTTCTTTCTTGTGTATTTGATGTCTTTTTTTCTCCCACATTATTGCCTTAATGGTTTTTTAAATTTGGGAGTGACTGTTGTTGTCTGCCATGAGACTACATCACACTTTCAGTATTTAAAAACCACAAAAAACTTGTGATGTAAGTATTGTGAATTAATTTAATTGAATTATTAATTAAAAGTCAATCTCTAGGTTGCTCATATTATTGCTTAGTAATAAATGAAGAAATTTCTCCTTCCTTATTTGAGGAACAGCCAGGTAAATTCAGTATATTGCCCTTTTCAAAGGCTAATGAACTCTAAAATCGGCCAAAAAAAATTTGGGAAGCTGTGTGCCAGGTTAATTTGTGTCAAAGCATGACAACTGAGACACATCATCTTGTAGGAGGTCTTGCACATTTTCTTTTGGAAATTTATAGATCCTGTGGAGGTGTTTTTGAGATTGGAATGAGGGAAGAAACAGGCATAAAAATAAAACATTTTTAGCAGTTCCCAGTATATTGCTCTTGTCACTACTTATTTTATTTATGAGCCTATTGGACCCAAATACATACTCACTCTTACCTGTGACAAACTGACAATTGGGATATAAAAATGAAAAGTTTTTTCCCTTAGCTGGTGGCTAAGGAATCATTGATCTTCCCTCAACCAACATTAATCTTGCAAAGGCAGCAAGAGGCTTATAGGTCTTCCATGGAGTTTGGAAGTGGTAAATTGGAAAACAAAACAAAAAAAAAAAGTGCTTTTGTTCATATTTTTATTGTTGGGAATATTTTATGACACTGTGATTGCCAGTTGGTCATGACTTATAGTTCATTAATGTTTTATTCTTGGATCATAGCTGTACACTCTCTAAAATAATTAACTTAGGCAGTGCTCTATAACATAATTGATTAGAAAACTAAACTTCATTTGCTGCCTGTGTCATTAAATAGAAACTCTCAGGTGATGAACTCTAAGATAATCCTCTGAAATATTCTGAATAACAATCATTAGTGAGAAATTCCAAAATAGCAACAGACAATATCTCATTTTCTTAGCAGATCAGGTAATTTAAAAGACCACAAATATACATGGAAGCAATTATTTTTAGCTTTCTGAAATTAAAATAGCAGGGCTTGGGAGCATGATATGCAGACATTTGGGGGTGTAGGTTGTGTGTTTTGATTACCATGTCATCTCAATTCTTCTGCATTTCCCATCCTCAGTTCTGCAGGGAAATTTTATGTAACTTTAAAATTTTATGTAATTTTATGTGATGGCTTTTTTTGTTGTTATGAAGAGGGACCTGAACTGGTAAAACTGAATTTGGATTCCAGCTAAGGCTGGAATAAACTTTTTATTTTTTAAATAAACTTTTAGCATTTTAAATTTATAAAATGAGTTTGTACATGGTTGATATGTCATTATTACACAGTGAGCACATGGATCTTGCTTTCAGCTCAGAACTCCCCTAGAACCTGGCAGCAGCAAATGCCAGAATTTTGTGTCTTCTTGCCTCTACAATAAAAACAAGTCCCCTCTCCCAGCCCCCCAGTCTATCACGTGGATATAAACAGACTTTGCAGTTTAACAACTTTCTTTCCCTCTGATTAGTAAAATGTGGAGGAAGAAACAACTTGTTCTTATGCAACCTGAGAACAATTTCTAAACACTTTTGTTTTTTCTCTGACAGATCAATGCAATGCCTTGCTGCTTCTAATTATTTCTAAATAGAAATATTTTTAATAATAAATAATTTCTAATTATTATTGTGTTATCCTAAGCTTGGGACAGCTCATGGCTGTGCATGTAAAAGGGGTTATTCTTATAGAATAAAAGGGGTTATTATTATAGAGCTGTGCTTTTTCATCCTTCTGGAGGCATTCAGCAGCCACCTCACAGGCTATCATCCTTGCTACAGCCCATGAACATCTCCTGAGTAAAATCTGGACATGCTGGAGTGGCTATAAAATGTCTTTCACTGTCCATCTTTGGCCCTGCTTTTTGGAAATACGTCCAAAAAATTTTATATAAAATTTATAATGTATGCTGTAAGGTACCAAATTGTAGCTTCACCTCCATTACTGAACAGGCCCTGGTTCAGATGTAGGGGAAGTCTCCAGCCTGAAGAGATGCTCTACACTGAGGTTCTGTGGTTGTTGATTAAAGGGAACCAAAGCTTGACCTGCAAATGGAATCAAGCAGTTTTTGGAGAAATTCAGGTTCCCTGATTTGTTCCTTTTGTTTTAAAGGGAAGGGTTCACATTCCCCAATTTGTCCTGTTTTAAAGGGAGGGGTTCAAGTTCCCCAATTTGTCCTGTTTTAAAGGGAGGGGTTCAAGTTCCCCAATTTGTCCTGTTTTAAAGGGAAGGGTTCACATTCCCAGTTTGTCCTGTTTTAAAGGGAGGGGTTCAAGTTCCCCAATTTTCCCTGTTTTAAAGGGAGGGAAAGCTGCTCTCTGTAAATCCATGAAGGGAGGTTGTAGCAAGGTGAAGCCTGCTCACCTGTGGACCTGATTTTCTCTGAGCCTGAGGGAATTGCAGGCTGTCAGTGGCTGATCTGTTCCCAAGGGAAGGTTCCTTGGGAGGTCTCACACTCAAGGACAACATTTGTAAATGATCTCTCTCAAAACAGTTCTGCCTAACTGTAGATAGTGTGTTTTTCTCTTGTCCCACCAATGGATCCCCTTGACCAATCATGGTAACCCTGTAGTGTAAAACCTTATAAAAACTGAAAAGTTCAGAGAATAAAGCCCCCTTTTCCTTGCAGCTCCTTCTGGTGTGTGCTGTGAACCCACGCCTGTACATCGTGTCCAAAAGTGACACTCGCCTCTCCCGGGTGACGGGAAACAGGACAGCAGGAAATGGCTCAGGTTGTGCCAGGAAAGGCTGAAATTGAGTGTTTGGACAAATTTCCCCACTGAAAAAGTGCTCAGGTTTGGAGTGGGCTGCCCTGGGAGGCGGTGGAGTCGCTGTCCCTCGAGGGATTTGTATCACACCTAGGTGTGGCCCTTGGGGACGTGGTTTAGTGGGATTTGGCAGTGCTGGGGTAATGATTTTCTCTGAGCCTGAGGGAATTGCAGGTTGCAAATCTGATTGCACTCAATGAATTTTCCAGCCTTCGTTTTCACATTTGAATTTTCCATTTTCCTCATCTCTCAGACAATTCTGGTGATTAAATTGCACACTACAATGAGTCCAAGGTAAGTGCTTAAATTGAAATAATTCAATGTTTGCGTGATTATACAGTAAATTATATATAAAACAATGTGTATAATGTATGCTGTAAGGTACCAAGTCATCTAATCCTAATTATGAATGTAATATATTTAGCCATATAGTAATGACATGATTGGAAAAAGAAAGAAAATTTTATAATTACAGCATAGCTTTCTGTGATGAATAGAGGCTCCAATATAACTCTGGAAATGTACATATTAATAGTTTCCATTGTTCATACATGAACAAAATATTTTGATTCCAGAGGAATTAAATTCTTTTGGTTTACTAATTTGGAGGAAAATTTTGAGAGTTGATAGCATTTTCTTTCAATTAATATTCTAAATATCAATATTCTAAATGTGAACTGTGACTTCTATAGGAAAAGAAAGATGAAGAGATCAGCTTTCTATGACTGGAAATTTACTTGATACTAAAACTTAATGGATGAAGACATTTATAACAGTATGATTTCACATCTTTTATTCATGTACAATTTTACCAAAGTATTCCCATCAGCCTGCTGTTTTCATTTCCTATATATTTACATAGACTTTCTCAAATAATGTAAAATCTGTGGGGAAAAAAATTGCTAAATTATTTTTTTTGGAGAGCAAGAAAATGAAAGTGAAAGAAAAGTGTCAGAAATTGTGCTCTGGTTTAAAACATCAAAGAAATTAAAAGCTGGGGAGGCTGCTAGGGTTGGCTCTGTTTTTTCTATGTATTTCAGGTCACTTAGTGCACCCTTTATGGACACAGAGATTCCTGTTTCTAAATTTTTGAGTGTTTTTGAATATTTATGCACTCCAAGGACTATCTGTTAATTGACAACAAGAGCAAACCAGCCCCTCATGGCAACACATTGGTGAAAGGAAAAGAATCAATCACATATTCTGTGCTGGGAAAAGCAGTTCTTCGTGTTCTTTTGAAAGGGAGGAGAGGCAAAGTGGATTCACTCAATAATACATTTCAAGTGTGAGAGAACAGAACAAATCATTAAAAAAAAAAAATCCACAAATTGCATTTATGTGGTGGTTTTGAGGGCCTGAGAGGGAAGGGCAAAGTTTCACAGAAGTAATTTGTCATTGTGGAGAGGCACAAACACACCTGACAGAGAAAAAAACAATAACAGTGAGTGATCTTTGCCTTGGGGCAGACAAAAACCTGCATGTCCATCACCTGGGGACTTCTGCTGGGGCAGGACAAGGCCAGGAGCTCAGAAAGAGCCCAGGAGATGGTTTTCTTCCCAGAAATAAAATACTTCTTCTCTCAGTCTGCAGTGAACATCCAAAGAGGAGCATCCTAAGAATCCTTGAGTGCCTGAGGAAGATGGAGGTGTGCTGTTCTGAGGTGCTAAATAAATGTTGGACCAGGGTTATTTTGAGTTCTGTAAATAGCTGGTGAGAGACATAGGTGTTGGAGAGGAAGTTTGGTGTAATTAACAGATCAGGATTCCAAAAGGAAGGGTGTTCTGTGGGAAAGGTTTGTTTTTTACAGCCATTTTTATACCCTGGGACGGAGGTGGAGATGGGTGGAACAAGGAACTGATATTAAAATAGACCTGAAATCCAATAATTTGGGCCAGATATTCTCAGCAAAAAAAGTGAGGAGAAGGAAGAAGCAGCTCAGTGTGCAAATATGAAACAAACCTGTGTCAGACATCCTTCAAAACCAGAGTTATGAATGGAACATGTATAGCATGATGATCCTTTCTTACTTTAAGCTTTTAGTTTGAGTACTTCTTGTGCACCACCTTTGACTTTCTGAGGGATAAAAAGAAAAAAAAATCTGATTGTTGATGAGCATAAAATATTGTGCTGGAATTAGAGAGAGCTTAGTGTGTTACAGTGTTAAGCACTCTGAAATTGTTCAGCTATATATAAACCACACAATAATAAGTGTGAGTTTTTGTGCCACATATCAATTCTCACTTCCTGGCCTGTGGCTGGAATTTTATATGAGTACAGCTGGTTGTTTTGAAACAATAATTGTCAATTTTGGAATATTGTAAATCAAGATTTTCAAGGGGGAAAAAAAAATCACTTTAATGGATGAATTGCAAGACTTTTCCAGTTCCACCTGTGGTTCTTGGATGTTTTAGAAACCAGTTTTTAGTAATGAGAGGAATATTTGGGATAGTATATGTTGGATTCACCATATCAGTGAGATCCAGAGAAGACAGAAGAGGCCCCTAAGGTGACTTAGGGTGAGTCTGGAAGACAAAAGAGTTTGGCTGCCTCACTGTGTGATAGTTCTGTTTTGGTCATAGATGAGTTAGTAAAGTAACCTTGAGATTATTGCTGTTCTTTGAATGGTCCAGGTCATTAGAGCTCAGCTGGTAATCCCACTGTTTTTTGTATCTAGTTAATTTTCTTGCTTTTATAAATAGAACTTATTTAAAGGTAAATTTTAAGGCATTTATTTGTGGCCTCCTTTATTTACATGTTCATTTTCAAGGCTTGCTGCTCACAAATTGGCAAAAAGGTAGGTCAGGTTTTGGCCTAACTAAACATGAGAGATTTTTTTACCAAAAATTTAAAAAGAATAAAGTCTTTAAAAATTGCAGAAAAACATTCCTTTACACGACGTCGTAATTTAAAAGAAAATGAGAAGCTAATACTAATTATTACATTGTCACATTCTGTGGGACTTCTAATTGCAAAAGCTTATGTTAAACATTTCCAAGAAATTCATGGAATGAACTGCCCTAGTTTGTCTTGGCTTTCTGGAATATTTTTGCAGGAGATTCAGACATTAATCAAATCCAGATCTACTTTGTCTCAGAGAAAACAGCGATTTCTCTTCTAAACAAAGCTAATAGTGCTGAGACATTATTTTCATAGCTGTAATGACATCTAACCATGGGCCAGGCATTGTTTCACATGCTGGACGGGCAGAACAAAGTAAAATAAAGAAAAACTTTATTCCTAAAAAGCAGAGAAACCCCAATAAGCAGGTTGGGGTTGTGGTTTAACCCCAGCCCCACGGAACCACTCGCTCACTCCCCACACTGGGGCTGGGGAGAGAATTGGGAGGGTAAAAGCTACAAAACACACGGGCTAGGAGAGTTTGATAAGGAAAGCAAAAGCCACAGACACAGAAGGAAAGGAAGAAATTGAATTAATTCCATTAATTCCCAAGGGCAGGCAGGAGCTCAGCCTTCTCCAGGAGAGCAGGGCCCCATCACAGGTGAGGTTTGGGAAGACAAACACCACCACCCCAAATGTCCCCCTTTTCCTCCTCCTTCCCCACAGTTTCTGTGCCATCCCCTGCTCTGGAATGTCCCTTTGGTCACTTGGGGTCACCTGTCCTGGCTGTGTCCCCTCCCACCCTCCCAGGCACCCCCAGCTCCCTCTCCAGAGTGGCTTTACCAAAAGCAGAGAAGGCCTTGGCTCTGTGCAACAACAAAAACATCTCTGAGTTATCAACCCTGTGTCCAGCACAAACCCAAACACAGCCCCACTGCAAAGAAAATTAACTCTAGCCCAGCCCAAACCAGCACACCATGACACCTCAATACACTTTTGACTCTGTTAGTGACAGTTTCAGATTCCAGGTTCTGAACTGTTTTGTTTGCAAAATGAAAATACGTGGTGCATCTGTCTGATGGATGAAATGAGACCTGTATGATTTTTGTTTTCACATGCAATCTAATTTGTGACAGATGTGGACACAAGTCTGGACAGGTTCCAATGTCTATAATTTAAATAAAATATTAATGATAATCATTATTCTTATCCACAGTACTCTTTTATTGCAACTATTTCATTATCATGTTACTGGACCAGGCTAAAATATTGTCTAATTTGATGGGATTTGGCCATATAATGCATATATGGCTTTGGTGGGTGTACCAGATACATGAGAAAAAATTATGAGAGGAAGAAGAAAACATGCAATTTAAAGGATGATAAAGTTGGCAGGTGGACTCTTGACTTTTTGAATTGGCTTATTATGACACATAACAGAAGTGCAATAAAATTATTTTTATTATTTGAAAATGCACAAGAGACAATACAGATCTGTGTTTGAAAACATTTTTTTACATACCTTTTTACTACAAGCTACTTTGTCTTGCAATTGTAATCCAAAATTCTCTCATTTAGAATGGAATAATTGCTGATATTAATAATATACTTAGTTTGAACTGAAATTGACTCATCTTTAAAACAGAAATGAAACCCAATGTAATTTATCTATTACTTTACCACTTTGAAAGCTTCACTAGACCAAAGAAAACATCCATGCACATAAATCTTATAAATAAAATCAAGAGAATCAATACCTTTCAGTAAAAAAAGCTAAAGCTACATAAGTTAAAATATCTATTTTCTATTACAAGACAGATTCAGAGTAACAGGCAAATTCTCCTTTAATAATCATGTCTGTATGGGTCTCAAAAGCAGACATGCCAGATAACCACTACTTCATTCCTCTGCCTAGTGCTGAAGTAGCTTTTTCTGTCATTCCTAACAGGTTCCACATGTTCTGTAAAACCTGTAATCATCACTAATCCACAGACCCCACACCCTTCCTTCATTCCCTCTCTCCTTCTCCAAGCCCCCAACAGTTTATTTCAGTGCCCAGCTGTCTGTAGCTTTCAGGAGATTTGCTTGTGACTACTCTGAATCTTTCATGGGTTGTTCTGTTCTCTTTGGACGTGGAGAACTGACCTTTTCTGCGTAACAGTCTTCAAACATGTAAAATGTTCTGCTAATATTCCCCCTAAGTGTTCCCTCCCCTAAGCAAAACAACCACATTTATTTCAATCTTATTCTCCTAAGATTTTTTCTAGGCCTCTCTCCATTCTTATTATTCTTCTGTCAATTTTCTCCAGTTTGAAAATGTGCCGAAGTTCTGTCAGAAATAACCACTCAGCCAAGGCCCTACCATGTAGAACTGAGTGGTGGAGGTAGGTTGTGTCTTGTAGGCTCTGCTCCTTGCATTCCCACTTTTCTGCAGCACTGGGATGCTGTTGACTCTTAACTTTGCTTGTACACCACCATGCCTGCAGTGCCAAACCGCAGCTGAATCCATTGTTTCCATTCTGTGTCTGTGCAGGTGATTTTTCTGATGAAGAATGGTATATTTTCATTTTTCCCAAGGGATTTCATCCTGTAGGCTTCACATAATTTCCTCAATAAGGTGAGGTAATTTCCCATTCTGACTCAGTCAGTCCTCCAGCTCACTTCCAGACCACTCCAACTTCATAGTGGTATTTGCAGAGTCAGGTTGCTGCAGAGTTCTGTGAAATCCCATTCTCTGAAGGGACTCCTGTGAACGGCTTTCAAGGCACATTATCACACCATGTTTGCACTACTGGGGTCAGGTGCCCCTACATTCATCCCTAAATCATTTTTGAGACTCCTACGTTAAATGATGCTAAACATTTCTCTTTACTACATTCTGCACTCAGGTGAAAATAGAGAGCTGATGATTTTTTCAAGTTAGCCAGGTATGAACTAGAGTTCCTGTTACTCGTGTTGCTGTGACAGTGAGGCTGAACTAACAAGCCTTGCTGAGAAAGTACAAGAATTCAGGTGACATTCAACGTTTGAACATAGATTTTGGCTCTTAAATATACATGCTGTTATTATTTGCAGTGCATAATGGCTATATGAAATATTCTGCAAAGAAAAAATCAGTCAGGATCTCAGCTGAGAGAGGTTTACAATCCAGCTAATAGAACCACAACCAGCAGCAAGGCTTTTAAAAATAAGTGTGTTCTTAGGAGAGATGAAAAGCAGGAGATAATAAAGACTTGAAACTTTTTGAAAGCACAGAATAGCATAAAATAATCTATGTGAAGCAGGCAGTGGAAATACAGGAATATAAATAATGAAGTTGCACTAAAGAGGAAGAAGGGCGAAGGGCAGAAGAAATTGGAAGCAGCATTTTTTATAGACCTGTGAAAATTATTTTAAGGCAACTGATAGGTTATGTAAGGAAGGCCTGAAGAGGAGTTTAGTCAGTAGCTCTTCATTTTGGCCTTAAAAATCTTTGTTTCAATCCTGGCAGTTTCTAAATCTTCCATTTAAACCTGAACAGTACCTTTATTTGTCAGGGAACATTTAAAGCCAAACTGCTGTGTCCAGTAGCCTTCACTGGTTGCTTCCATTCTGACTGAAGGAGCAGTAGGATGGCCCCAGTCCCCTGACAGTGCAGTCAGTGGTGTCAGTGTCACAGCTGTCACAGTGGCACTCTGTAGCCACTGGGTATGAATAAAATGATTCAGGATGGTCACCACAGCCAGGGATCTTCACTGTTTCATACACAACCTCCTTGAAGGTACAGGTTTGCTGAGCAGTTGATACTGGTGGATATTTGTACACTGGATCCTGAAATTGCAAGAAAGAAAATAAACTGTTTTAAAATTTGTTGTGGGATTTCAGTATTTTTATAAAATGGGAAAATCTCACTGAAATCAAAAGCATTTGGGTCTGACTCTTCTAATTTCACTTAGATCTTTAAATTTCCCCTTTCAGGGAGACTGATATTTGTGTCATACCATCACCAGACAATCTTTCAGGTCAATTGATTGATTCTTCAAATTATTTGAAAGAGCAGAGGAGTCTACACAGTAATGGCTGCTTTATTTTATCTGCTTGCAAGCAGAAACTGAGCACAAAGCAGAGATCCAGATTGTAATCCTTCTCACTCTAGCTATACAATACAAACATAATATATGCAGCCAGTTAATTAACTGGATTTTACTATGATATTTCACCCTTCTGTGTGTGCTTCAGATTGGCTGTGTATTTTCTCCTGTGTCAGACAGCACAGCAGTTATTCAGCCTGCTCTTTCACAAGGCTCACCCTGTCTATGTGTTTGCTACGAGCTGCAGGAATGGGTTATCCATACATCACTTAAAATATTTAATTCTGCTGCCTGAAATGAAGAGTCTCACCCTTGTGAAGCAGTATCCTGAGCACCACGTGGCATTCACTGTAATGCAGAATTCACATTCTTCTTTTTCCACGGCTATGGTAATATTGGTGAGCTGGCAGCTGTTGCAGCAAATTGCTTTCCAGCAAAGTAACAGCACGTAACAATTAAGTGTCTTCATCCTGTCTACAAAGCAAAAAATATATCTCTACTGGAGAAACACGTATAGTTATTTTTAACAGAATCATCAGTGAGAACAGAGACATTAGACAGATCTTCCTTATGTTTACTGTTAAAGGAGTTTGATTTTCCTAAGCAACTGAAATGGCATGTCATCAGTCTTTGCAGAATGATAATAATAGCACAATACCATACTTTCAATGAAATATTTTTATCTAAGTTTCTGTAGAGAGAATGTAACCTGCCTTTAAAGACAAAGAAGAAGAAGCAAGAGAAAGAGCAAAGTATAAGCATTTTTCAGAGGCAATTAATTGCTTTAAGTGTTTGCAATATGAAAAAAAAAAAGCTTCTACATCAGGATCTGATGAAAACTTACCTGTATTCTGCTCTCCTTCCTCGAAGTAACAGCTGTAGTGAGAAGAAAGCCCTGTGCTTTCCTTTTATAGTGGATGGTGTGTAATTTATACCTTGAGGATTTGCAGTGTATTAATGCAGCAAGCATTAGTTTGGGACTTGGTGAAAGCGGATTAATGTTCAGCCAGACAGTGAGATTAAGCCTTGTTGAGAGGAAAAAAGAAAAGCTAAACACACTGGGGAAGAGATGGTGAAGGTTACTGTCACAGTGTCTCTCTACACATGTCACTGGATTTGATTCAGTGGCATTTAGAAATAGCTGAGCTGTTTCACAGTTTGAAAAAGAAAAAAAAGGTTGAAAAGCTTATTTTTGGAAATGAAAAGTTCAGGTGTTTTAACTTCTTGGTCAGCCCTCAAAGTGATAGGCTTGGGGTGCAAGCTGGTCCTTGGGCAGTGGAGGACCCTTCACTGCTGTAGTTTTTCTTAGCTAATGACCATTTTCTTGTTTTCTTTTCAGGGCATCAATTTTAATTGGTTTTCTCTGAGTTCTGTCTTACCCAGTGAGCTGCATATGTATTTATTCAGTGATCCAATAAAGCTAGTCATGTGAATTTTGTTAAACCATGAAGAACTCCTCTTTTCTTTGCCATTCTTTTCTAGCCCAGTATATTCAGCCCTGGTTCCTGTCTGTTGCATGGTCACATTTTTTAACTTATGTGAGGGATATTTGTGTTGTGGGGAGGGACTATTAGGATGTCATAATGAGGCTCCAGATTTGTGTTTTTATGCCAGTGATCTCTGATGAAATATTTTAGTGTTTCAGGGAAAATACTAATGTTTTCAACTGACAACTGTGCAAACTCAACTTGAATATATTCCCTGCATTCACAGGTTAGGGATGTGCACCTCTTCACCAGAATAATGACAGAGAAAGACCTCTGTAGAGCTTCACATACCAGTTCTGGGGAAAATGACTCACAGCAGCACTGTATTTACTATTATCTGCCCAGAACAGCCAGTCTTGCTTTGTTATGACTGTTCTATTATGGTCAGTCTGACTTTTACAGAAATCCATCCCTGAAAGAAAACTAGACAAGGACATAGAGTTAAAAGCATTTTATCATGAAAAGAAATTCTCACTGGCCTATTAGTTTCCTGCAGACGGGATACTTTTCAAAGAGGCTTTTACAAATGAGCCCTTTAAGTGTGTCATACCTTCCTGTGGTCCTGCAGACTGGCCATCTGTTCCAGTTTCCTTGCAGTCTGCAGAACCTTCATTTGTAAATGAATTTTGCATCACGCCAAAGTTAGAAAGTGAGCTGAAATTTTTTCCCTGGTCATCTCCTGTGTTAAGAATTTTGTTTGAATGAGAAGACAGTTCACTTAAATCTATAAAGAAGTCAAAAAATGAGACATCTTCTTTCTGGACTGATATAAACCCTGTGATTGATAATGTGTCGTTTTGTGTCGTTTAGTGTTAACACAGTCTGTCTTCTCAGAGGAGGTTCTCAGTTGCTGTAAATCTCTAATTCCAGAGATGCCAGACAAAAGCTGATTACTTTTCTTATATCCCTACTGAGGATCTGATCTTTTCTAAGTACTAATTTATGTAAATTAAAAAAGACTAAATAAATTTCATTTGCTGAGGACAATTCAGAAAATACTTGATCTGTTACAATGACCTGTTTCATTTTTGAAGAAATTACACACATTCACTAAAATGTAGTTCACAAGCAGACCAGTGCAAGTTTAGCCCCTACCATGTCCTTCCTTCACTGCCCTAGCTCCCTGCACTGTCCCACCCAGCCTTTTCACTTGTGGAGACACAAAGTAGGGAAATAATTCTATTAAAAGAGCTGTAAGAGCTCATGAAGCCACATTATAAACACAATACAAACACTAAAATGGGAAGATTTGTCCTGAGCTGATTTCAAGGGAGCACTGAATGGTCAGGACCTCTGTTCTTCTACTGGAGCTTGTGCAGGAATCTGGCAAATGCTGTCAAGGAGGATCTTCAACATGAGCAAGGGGTTGGTGCATCAAAGTACAGGTGGTGCTGTAGATGAGGACTCACCAACAGAGGACATCAGAAATCAGATTTACATGGCTGTGTTAATGTCTTAGTGGTTTCTTGGGGAAATAAAAGGCTTCTTGTATTGATATCTTTTTGGTGTTCTGTGGCTCTGTCCCTTGGACTGCTTTCTGTTGTACTCTGGCAAGCCACTGTCACCACCACTGTCACAAGGGAGATTTTGCTTTGCTTTTTTAATCACTTCAAATAGAAGCGCTGTCACATATTTTACTCTTATTTCCCTTCTAGCAGCAAATGCTCTTTTTCTTCTGCTTGTGCTCTGCTGATTGGTGTTTTTGCTTGTTTTGGGGGTTTTGTGTGTGTGTGTGATACTGTTTTTTTTGGTTTTTCTTGGGTTTTTTTTCCTTGCAAAAGCATCTAATACAGAACTGGTAGCTTTTATGTTCCTTATATGTTCTAAAAAAATGGGATTGTTTTCTTTAAGTGTGGTGGTGCTCAGACTAATGATCCTGTTTCTACAAGTTTTAACTCTTGTTTTGCTTAAAAGAAAGTAGTTTAGATATCTAAGAGAACTTCAGCATCTGTCAAAGTGCTATTGGAAGACTTGTATGCAACACATCCACCACGAGTAATAAACCTGACTCTGTCCTGATAGAAGATGTATTGAACCTTCTGGTGGGAAAAAACATGACTGATATAAAATACCTGTGACTATCCCAGCTGCAGCCTAGCTTTAACTTCTAATGTATTCTTAAATACTTATGTATTCCTCAAGTTGTCAAGCAACATGGTTTTAATTTTCTTACGCTCATAGTTGTGGTTACATGTTCTAGATCTTGATGAATAGATACTGAGAGTAATAGCTTCTGCATATGAAAGCTGTTTTGCACTGAGTGTCTCAAGGCATGTCAAAAGTGCCTAAACCTATGGCTTAATTGATTTTTTGTGTGGTTCCACCAAGTGAAGATTTGGAGATTAAGTACCATCATGCTGAGCCTTTGCCAAGTCTCTTGGACACTGCCAGTCTTGACCAAGCACTCCTCCTTTCCTCTTTCTGCGCTTGTTCTGCACAGTTCCAAATTTAACCTGAGGTATATTGCTGCTCCCCAGATGGATTAAATTGATATCCTTGAAGCACAAAGCTTGCAAATTGCTTCTGAGTCTGTGCTTCAGTCTGAGCTCCCTCTGTGGGGTTGGTATTTCACAGCACAGCAGCACAGGCCTATGCTAAGTAAATTGACTGGAATTTTGTTTTCCCCCTTTTGTTGCTGTTGTTTTTGTTGCTTGCAGCTGTTGGAAGATGACTTTTGTTGCTGCATTACCTCTCCAAGCCTTTGGGGTTTACTGTGATTCTTATTAAAATCAGTGGGGAGGCTCTCACAGGCTTTAGTGGAACCTGCAATGAGTGGTTGGTCACTGTTGGTCAATATAATTTTTACTGATATTAAGTTGCTAGCATTAATAAAGCAGAACTGTGAAGTAGGTCGGGCCTGCTGAGCACATAGATAGTTTAAACTAATTAGTGTCAGCTAAAGACTTAATCATTAATGGCAAATTTGTATATGCATTTGTAGGAAAGCAGAATATTTGATCCTCAGGAGACTAAAGAAACTGCCAGAATGGACTGACTGTGTTTTTAGTAGCACAGGATTTTAGAAATCTCTGGAGATACAATTTTCCATTACTTGGAACTAAGGTTATATAGACCATATTTTCAAATACCAACAGAAGCTGTTAGTCTTTCTGAGTGTTGTGGAAATCCTGCTTGCAGTCAACAGCAGCAGAAACTAAATATTCTGAAAAGTGTTTAATAAACACAGAGCAGAGCAAGCAACAATACAGATGTTTATGCTGTCATTCAGTCATCTCTCTTGTAGTTTCTGTCTCACACGACATAAATTCATTCATGGCTGATTCTTATGCCACTTTGCTAAGTATAGAAATCAGCTGCATTTTCTAAGGCTTTTTAGTGGTGGCATTCTTATATCCTTTATCTGTTTTCTCTTGCAGAACCACAGTGTGATCTTGGCTCCTTATGTAAGATCATTTGGTAACTCCATTGGTATCTGTTAGGAAATTTGTGTTAAGATTCTGCTCAAGAGTAAACCAAGTATTAAAATTATATGTTTGATAAAAATGCTCTTCCCTATTTCTTTCTTTGTCATTCTTTCATTTTTACTTATCATGTAGTTTCTGAATATTTTAATTTTTCAGTGAGAAGTATTTTTTTTTTCCTTTTTTGTGTGTAAGTAGTTGTTTTTATTCTGTGACTGCCCTGGAGTACCAATGTTTTATTTTAAGCTTTCCTGAGTATTACAGTGTTTTTCAACAAGAAAGCATCATAATAGATTTAAAAGGATTTAAAATAGATTAGTCATATTAGAAAAGTGAGAAAGCAAAGGAAAGACCTAATGGACAATATATAAAATTATACAATTCATGATCAGCTAGGGTTTCCTTTTTGTTACCTGAGCAGTTCTTGCCTCTGTAAACAAACAAATATTTCTAAATATTCACTTGAAAAATCAAATCCAATTTGAGGTTTTTTTTTTTAATTGTTATTTAACTTTTATGTTAATAATATTTCAAGGCCCAAATATTATAGAATGACTGGAGTCCAAAGGGCAAAAGCTGCCATTAGTAGTTTATAGTAGTTTGTATTTATTTTCTAGGTAGGTTGTTCCACTGTTATGTTATATGTTATGTTCATATTTTGTTAAACCTAGAAATTAAAAAAAAAAAAAGGAAGTTTCAGGCACTTTAATATTTCATCACTATTTCTGTTATGTTCTATAACTATGTTAAGAAGTTGGGCAAGCCCATGTCTATGATACATCTTATGATGCCTTCTTCTTCTAAAACAGTAAATTTGGCATGACTGAACCTTATTCATACATAAAAAACAGCAGCTGCTAATTGTTTTCAAACTACAGATATGATATGCAACATAAGGCCTGAATCATGCTGGCAGTCTGCATTGATAGCACAATAAAGTTGATACAGAACAATTCAGCACACTTGGAGAGTGGATTGAAAGCCCATCTTATTTGGGTTACTAAATGAAGTCCGAGGCTGAAGATGTCTGACCCATATTGATTTTGCAAGTGCAGTAATTTTAGGTCAAACTGCTTAAGAAAAATAGGTTGGAAAGAATGCAT